CTGGTGAAATTACAGGCACATGGGACTTGTCAACTTATGTCTCAGGCGCAGTGGCAGTGCCCCTCAGATCTATGCGATTTAAAGCTCTGAGTGGCACTGCAACTGTTTTAGATAGCCGTGTAGTTTACCATCAACCGTCACTTGACACTTTTGTTTGTGTTGTTCGATATTCACATTTCTTTATTATTTTTTACAGAGGCAGAAGAATTATACAACCATGTGGCAGAAATATTCAACATTTGGTCAAAGAGTCAGTACTTCTTAAAAGAAGAACAAAACTTCATATCGGCCAATGAAATTGATAACATGGTATGTTTATTAATCCTTTACTTCACTATTTCAAATGGAAACTTACGTCTGTCTCTAAACTCTATTGTGAAGTCTATTTTTCTGTACTTTGTGTTGTTATTTATATATATTTCTTTGTTTTCTTGTTATCTTCCATGTGTCATTGAGTATCATGTTGAATTTATTAAATATTCCCGTTTTGCGTAACAATAATAATGATAACTGTCCTCTCTCTCCCCACATTCGAAGAGGTCTTCCACACTGGTACCCAAAAATTTGATATTTCAAAAGCGCCAGGCTAGCCCAACCCGTATTGGGCTAGCCTGGCCATCCGATTTTGGAGATCCGTGCCCAATAGTGTGACGTGTAATGGGTTTATGATGATGTCATCATTAAAACAAACGTCATTGATTGAAAAAGTGATTAAAAATTGAAAATCTCTGAATTTATGGAAATATACTTTTTGGGATATACAGCGTGGGGACTTTTTTGCCCCTTACACACTTTTTTCGAAAAGTCACCAATATCTGTCTAAAAGCTCGTCACTCATGACTGTTAACAACTGCCGAATCATATGTGCTGTCTATCACCAATCATTACAGGTTCTCATAATGCCTACTGCCACGCGGCGTGTCACCACTGTTGTTGATGGCGCGCCACAGGGCCGTGGAAAGGTAAAATATACAAAAACTTATTCAAAAGTTTTGCTTGTGGTGTGTAGCAACACTAACAGCTTATAATGCTTTTTATGCTGTTAGATACGTACAGTAGATCGACCCCTCCTACGTAAAGTATCGTATGTCGAAAATGCCAAGCTTACAGGGGAGCGTTTTAAAGTTTTGAATTCACTGAAATAGCCATAACACGTGACTTTAGCATAGAAATGCGAAATTAAATTTGTATAATTATTAATACAAAGATCGAACACTTAGAAAAGAATCCTTAGATCGGGCTGGATTCGAACCAACGTCTTCTAGCAAACCGTGTCAGACGCTACGCCAACTAAATTCATAAAAATAATTTAATATCATGGCGGTCAAACATCGTGACAACCTAAATTTGACCCACCGAAATTTTGTTTTTTTCAAAAATGGAGTCTTTGTATGACACCTAATGCATGGAAAAAATTAGGGTGGTAACTAAAAAGTCAACTGTATAAACAAATAAAAAGACTAAAATACCCATGATGTAAACTTCATAACGTAAAACTGTGTTGAAGAAAAAAAATTCCTGAAAAATTATTTTTTCACCTAGTAGTTGTTCGCGACTGGAGACATTGTATTATGTAGATTATATTTATAAACTAAATGTTAATTGAGAACGTGCTAATGAGATAGTGAATAAAATTTTAAACTTTTTATTTTATTATTTTATAATTTAATTTACTGCCTCCGTGGCCGAACGGTTACCATGCCGCCATAGACTGCCACGCAGAAGTCCCAGGTTCGATTCCCGGGCCGGGAGAAATATTTGTATGGCCTACATTTATTTCTCTCTCCATGTTTATCTTATAATATGTTCTAAAAGTGCTTTCTTAATATCGTACCTGGAACACCTTGTAAAAACCACATATCAACAAAACAAAAACTCGCAGAAAAAGAAGAAGCATCGCGACAAGAAACGTGACAAGGACAAGGAAGTTCAAGCATCTCTCATGGTGGCCTGTCTCAAGAGATTACTACCGGTCGGTCTGAATCTCTTTGCTGGCAGAGAACAGGAGTTGGTGCAACATTGTAAAGATAGGTTCCTCAAGGTAAGATTTTAGGCCCTTTATTGTTTAACATTCATATTAATACACGCAATCAACCTTTGATGTATGATCGAGTACGATTAAATTATCCAAATATCTATTATCTCTATCTCTATCTTTATCTTAACTCTATCTATATTATCTCTTTAGGCAGGTTTATACCTGCCTAAAGAGATAATTCCTGTCCTTGTGAATGTCGAAAACTGAGGTGGGTACTGTATTAAAAAGAGGGGTTCCTCAAAGTAAGGTATAGTGTCCTGCACGTTATTTTGTGGCAATCATGTTGAATATTTTTTCTAACAGTTTTATAATTCCTTTTTTAGAAAATGTCAGAGCAGGATGTAGCGGACTTTGCGAAGACGCAACTGACATTGCCTGACAAAATCGACCCAGCTGACGAGATGTCCTGGCAGCACTACCTTTACAGCAAGTTAGGTAAGATGTCATGACTTCCCGTAAAAGTGAAGTTGAAAAGCGTGTTCAAAGTTCAAATTTGAACGACACGTATTTAAAGTACATCAGCAAAAACAGTGCAGTTTTTTTTATGAAGGACATTTTGCCGTTGTCCGTGGTAACCTTGACAGCACCATCGGCAAATGGCGCACTGAAAGCTGTTAACCCGTAAATCGGGTAGTTTGATTTATAGCGCCTTATATAGAATCGTCACAAGCAATTGGCAGCAATGACTGAGAAGTTCTTAACGTGGGATTGTCGAGGTCCGTTGGCAACATTGACAGAGACGCTACTAACGCTATGTATATTTTTCCAGGGCAAAAGAAGACCACAACTGCGGTTGAAACAGCAGAGAACAAAGCAAAAATCATAGATGACACCGTTGAACGAATTGTTGCCATGAGCAAAGTATTATTTGGATTGCATATGGTGAGACATTAAATAGTTGTTGCTTAGCCTTAGCACAGAAGGCCTATACGCATTGCAACTGCAAAATAGTACTTGTAATGCAGTTAAAAAGCAACATGGATGCAGTCGACTCGACTACACGCAGCTGACATGCAGTAGACAATGAGAAACGCGCCGACTGCATTTAGACTGTTATTTCGACTGCATTATAACTACTATGGTTAGGTGGGGTAAGAAGAACACCGGGGGAGACGGATTTTATTTATTTATTTATTTAGTTTCAAGGGATAACAAACAATTGTACGTGGTATGATTACATTTGTTGTGAGGTTGAGTGACATAAGTACACGTACAATCAACAACATTATACACATATTACAATTTGAAGCCTTAACTATAATCTGAAGAGTGTAGCACTATAGTCTCGCAATGGATAAAACAAACAAACAAATTAGTTTAAGCGATTTTAAAAAGATGTCGCTATACCAAATCCTAAAGGCGGTAATAACAAATTTGACAGTTGTGAAATCTTTTCTTTTTCATTTAAATGCAGTGACAGTTCGTCTTATCCCTTTTTTTAGGGAAGAAAAACGTTAGGATAATTTGCACGTTTTGATACATCGTAAGTATTGAATTTAGCTGACATATAAAGCTGATAAACAGAGGCAAGTTTAGTGTACTTCAAAGTTCTTACAAGACTATCTGTTCTCCCTAGAGCTTTAAGCTCGTTTCAGAACATTTCACTCAAAATAAAATATGTTCCTCTTACGCCACCTGGCTATATTTTATTATAATATAATTATTATAATAGCTATTGATTTGAAACAACGGTAAATGAAACCAATTTGCCGTTATTTCAAATCAATATTATAGATTTTAAGGCTTTCATTGTTATTCACTAGTTACGGGTTTCTTGCCACGATATGATACATTTTTATTTTGCCCATATTTCGGAACAGTTACACGATCCATGGTTACGGGTTGACTGGCCAGCGGCAGATGATAACTTTAAGAACATCTGTCTACCTTCTTTCGTTGTCGACGACTAGGCTAATCTCGATTACTTGTTACCATTGTCACTCAGTTTTTTCACAAGCCACACTCGCTGTATCCACACGCGAACTGAATAAAAAGAACTCAAACCGTGGTAAGAAACCCGTAATTGGTGATAAACAGTAGAAAAACAATATTGTTATACTACGTCCAACGATTTATTTAACTTTTGACAGCTCGAATTCTAATCTATTAGTGATGTCCTAATGCGCTTCCGATTCGATTCTTTATCACAATCTATTATATTTATGAAAAAGTATCAATCGTGAATGTGAGCAGAATCAAAAAAAATGTTCAAAAAAGTTAGGATCGTGGTGTTGCGTTTTACAATTTGTGTACTCAAGAATTAATAATTAATGTTGAAAGAGTATTCAAATGATGATTTCCATCCATATGGAGAATTATCTGACGATTTATTATGTAACACACAATAAGAATTTATTATAATTATTTTTAATTTATTTCATTTCATTATGATTTATTACACATGCACCAAAATTTATCAACCTGAATAATTCATTCATTACATAATCTGTTGGCTCGATAAATATCGGAGAAAATTAAAAAACAAGTGTTCAGGAACTATTGTATTTTTTTGTCTACTGTTATATGTCAATAATTACGGACCTTCGGAGGCATGTATATGTCAACGGTTCAATAAAAGGTTGGACGGAGTATATGAACTAAACCGTAAAGTATATATAGTAAGTGTCATTGACAATTTACATCAATGTATTTATGATTACGAAATTTGTTTGTAGAATAGTTTATTTATGGTTCTCTATTTCCCATAGATCGACCATCCACAACAAATGAGTAAGAACGTTTACCGATCCGTTGTATCGATTCAACGTAAAAGAGCAGTTATTGCCTGCTTCCGACAAACATCTCTGCATTCATTGCCAAGGTTCATGTTGTTGTGTTATGTGACGGTATTCCTTACGTGTTGACTGATAATACATTGTGTGATTGTTTGCTAAATCGTGTTCTTTAGGACTAATGGATTTAACTTATCTATATTAACTGGAAGTTATGCCCATTAGCTTTGTAAGTGACATATAGGGTGCTTTTAAATTAGACGCTTATAGAAGCGCTACAGTGGCGCTACTGTAGCGCTGCAACTGCGCCACTACCATTTTTCATACAATATTTAGTCGCACATTTGCAGCGCCACAGTCGTGATACGCGCGTGTTACTTTTGCAGTCACAATTAGTGAAGTAAAAATGACAGAAACGCTACAGATGGGCTGCCGCGCCACTGTAGCGCTTCTACAAGCGTCTTATTTGAAGGCACCCACAAATCCTACTTTTGTTGCTGATATGAACTTTCATACATTTAAACATTTGTACGATTTGAAAAGATCCTTTTTTGTGTCATTTACTAAAATATTAAAGATAAACTTTTCTAGCTATAAAATTAGGACCATATGTCGTACCTTTGGTGTAATAAAGCCACATCTGCAAAATGAGAACTTTTCGGGGAAGAGGTTTGAAGATTCTACGAACGAAATTTGTCGATTTTTTTTATACGTAAGTAGGAGAGATATAAAGTTTCACATATACATAATTTGTGTCATGGTATTCCTGTTTTTTATGACTTTCACGTCATAAAAGAACTTTTAACGTATGATTACAAATCAAATGAAATCGTTTATTTCGGATTAACTGACAATAAAAATTAATTGTAAATGACATAAAAAAAAAAACAAATTTAAATTTAAAACAATTACTTTAAATATAAAACTTATAAAGTAAAAATAAATAAATTAAATTAAATTTATCATGCAAAACAACATACACCTACTTAATCTAAGCCGGTAACGTCAAGCTGCATCCATTGGGCCTGGGTGGGGTCTAGTCTATTATTATTATTCTTACATGTGGCTTTATTATATGAACAGTACGATATAATGATCTAGAAACATGATTGTGTTTTTTGGCATGAAATAACAACTATTTTGATATAACGTTATGACACTCCCATCAAAATTCTTAAAGCGGTAGGACGTGCTCATGAAGTATGCTTATTTAAAACCCTAACTTCAACGTGATCTATTGGGGTAACTCGAATGTTAATAAGACTGTTTAGGGAGTATTTTATACTGTTGCGCCTTGTAATTTTTTACAGCCTTTTTGTTGTTTCATTTTCTACATCTAATAAATTAATGTGGACTGAGCCCTTATTTTACTTTCGTTAAGGCTAGGCCATAGATAGAAGAATAAAAAGCCGTAGTGAGAAACCTATACCCAATGAAAATCATTTAAATAATTAACGTTTGCGCATGCTGCATTGGACTAAAAGGCTACAAAGCCTAAACAGCGTTCTAACAATTGGAAGCGTGTGCTTTGCGCTGCCAGAAAAAGAGCTGCAGTCGCTTGCTTGAGATCTACGCACCTTTATAAACTGAGTAGGTACGTATAACTACCGTGGTTGTTCAG